ACATGTACAACCATTTTGGGACTGAGCGTAGAGCGCAAGTTGTCGATGGTGACGCAGAAAGTGCTTTGGCTTACTTATGTGGTAAAGAAGAGCAAAATCCAATGTTTTATTATAAATATGATGTAGATGAAGAAAATCGATTAAATAATTTGTTTTGGACTGATGGTGGATCTCGAACAGATTATCTGTATTTTGGTGATGTGTTGATGTTTGATACTACGTATCGGACAAATGCGTACAACAAACCTTTTGTGATACTACAAGGTGTGAGCAACCACTTTCAAACGACTGTTTTTGGGTGTGCACTGTTAGCTTCCGAGACAGTAGAGACATACATATGGGTGTTAGAGAAATTTCTTGATGCGATGGATCACAAGATGCCTCTGTCCGTAATCACTGACGGGGATAAGGCCATGTGTAGAGCAATCAAAACAGTTATGCCTACTGCTCGACATCGATTATGTAAATGGCATCTTAAAATGAATGCTCTTTCCAATATCCACATAGAGGGATTTCTTCATAGCTTTGAAAAATGCATGTCAATGCAATGTACACAAGAAATGTTTGAATTAGAGTGGAAGAACCTTGTAGACAAGTATGGCCTTCATAATAACAAGTGGATTGCAGATGTATATTGCAAGCGTACTCTATGGGCTGAAGCATACCTCCATGGACATTTCTTTGCTGGTGCAAAAAGCACGCAACGTTGTGAGAGTATGAATGCATTTTTGAATCGATTCCTAAAGGTGCGCCTAAGGCTCTTTGAATTTGTAAGGGCATATGATAGAGCACTTGCAAGACTTCGCCATAACGAAGCTAAGGCACAATCCGAAACTGAGAATACCACTCCTATTCTTTCTACAGGTATGAAAAGGATTGAAAGACATGCAACTGATATATTTACTCGTGCCATATTTTTCAAATTTCGCGAACAAATAAAATTCGAGCAAGTGTTATTTATGTCAGGAAAAACTGATATAGAAGATATTCACGTATACTATTTGTCTATGTATACACATCCAGAATCCACATGGAATGTACAATATCGACCAAGTGATCATGCCATGAAATGTTCTTGTTTGTATTTTGAATCATGTGGAATTCCATGTTCCCATATGGTATCAATCATGAAAATGGAGCATTTGAAAGAAATTCCCTCTAGCTGTATATTAGAAAGGTGGACAAAAAATGTCAAGTCTTCCACTTTACTTGGTAAGACCCCTTTTCCAGAATGGGTTACGCAAACAACACGGTTCGGTGCATTGTCAAGTGCATGTACTGAGATGTGCTATTATGCTTCGCACTTAACCAATGGATACGAAGAAGCTATGGATGCAGTGACAAAGTTAACATGTCGAATGAAAGATTTGTATGTCCAACATGTTGAAGGAAATGGAACAAAAGGAAAAGCCAATGTTGAAGGGACATGTTTACATTTGGGTGTTGGTGATTCTCCCTTTACAAAGACGAAGGGAAGTCGTTCTGTTGCAAATGATAAGTTTTCAAAGCCAAGAAAATGTGGTCATTGCAGGTATCTAACAATTTAATTTATCTAGTAAGTGTATTGAATTATAATTAAATTTATATCCTAAGTGTAATGTGTTTTGTTACAGAGGTACTGGTCATACGAGGAATAAGTGTCCAAAACTAGAAAATGAAAATATTGATTCTTTTCCTACACAAGATACTTATGTATCAGGGGCAAGCATGTTGCACCAAGAAGATGGTTTCAATGTCGACCTTACTTTTACTAATAGTGACTACAATATAATGGGATATGGTTCCAATGGGCACCCTACTTTTGTTGGAACTGACTACAATATAATGGGATGCGATTCCAATATCTATCCTAACTTTGTGGTAATAATTTTTTATTTAACTTTTATTCACAAAATTTATGTTTCAGAATTTATTAATTATTAGTTACATTATGTAGGTACGTACATGCTCAGAAACTCCTGACAGCATTTATGGTCGTGTCGTAGGAGGGACAATTGACTTGTCAAAGTGATTGTAACAATCTTCGAGACAATCAAAGCAATCAGCCTTATATTTTGATTTTTTGTGTGGCATTACTCGTTTGTGTAAGGCTTATATTTATAAGGCATGTGACTTTTTATATGTATAAGACAAATGATAGTGTAAGACTTTTACTATTCTCAAACACAATACTTACCACTATGATTTCATTCATCATATTCATAACAACGTAATGGTAAGTAATGTAGTAAGTGGAGTCTATTTTAAGTAGTAGTAAGTGAGGTTTATTTGAGTGGTAAGTCAAACCCAACAAACTGGTAAATAGAGTCTTCTTGACTAGTAAGTATGATTGAATAAAATGGTAAGCCAAGAGTAATGAAGTAGTAAGTGGAGTTTATTTGAGTGGTAGTAAGTAAAGTTTATTTGAATAGTAAATGAAATGTAAAAAGTTGTATGACTTATATCTATAAGGCAATGCTTACTAATTGTTCTTATGCTACTTACCATTCATCAACACAATAATTACCATTACGATTTTATTCACCATGTTCGTAACAACATAATGGTTTTCCACGAACACATAAACTATTTGGCAAATAGTTTACAAAGTCATCATCACTATCATCAGAGAAGTCTGAAATGTCTGGATCAGAAACTAGCAATGGATCTTCAATGATTGTTGTGATAGCATTGTCACAATAAAAATGAGATTTTTTCTTGGCATATTCAATGTAATGAAATCTATCCAATCTTCGTTGCATCTGTGTATTCTCTCTCTGCAGCCTTGATATGACTGTTGCATCATCGCATGATTTGTTTCTGCATAGTTCAGCTGAACGTGCCCTTAGAACCCGTAGCCCATGCCATCGACAATATATCTCAAGTTCACAACGTTTTTCGAAGAGGTCTTGCCATTGCAAGTTGTTTCTGTCAACATTAACCCCATGTGGTGGATGATTGTATGCATGACCAACAATTACATGACCCACATCTGATTGCCATGGATCATGCATGAAAAGAGGTTTATTATGGAAGTGACGTTTGGTTCCATACCATGTCTTTCCTAATGGATCAGTATAGGAACCTATTGTTGGAGGCGTCTGAAAATCATCATCATTACCATGACTAAATGTAGAGCTAGATGATGCAATATTTTCAGATTTTCGTTTAGGCATTTTGAGTACTTAGGCTTGTAGTGAAGTGTGATGTATACAAGTGAGGTTAAATAAGGGTGTCACACGTGATCTATTAGTATTATTTTAATCATGGTTAATAGTCACATGTGAATAGTCATATGTACTAATGTCATGTCAATCATGTTCAATCATTTGAATGGTCAATAGTCATATGTACTAGTGTCATGATTAATCATTTTCAGTAGTCACATGTGAATAGTCAAAGAGTAATAAAGTAGTGAGTATAATTTATTTGAGTGGTAAGTTAAGTCTAATAAACTAGTAAGTAGAGTCTTTTTAACTAGTAAGTAAGTTTGAATAAAATGGTAAGTAAAGAGTAATAAAGTAGTAAGTGCAGTTTATTTGAGTGATAAGTTAAGTCTAATAAACTAGTAAGTAGAGTCTTTTTAACTAGTAAGTAAGATTGAATAAAATGGTAAGTAAAGAGTAATAAAGTAGTAAGTGGAGTTTATTTGAGTGGTGGTAAGTGAGACTTATTTGAGTAGTAAAGTCTAATAAACTAGTAAGTAGAGTCTTTTTAAGTAGTAAGTATGGTTGAATAACATGGTAAGCAAAGAGTAATAAAGTAGTAAGTGAAATTCATTTGAGTGGTAGTAAGTGAGACTTATTTGAGTGGTAAGTTAAGTCTAATAAACTAGTAAGTAAAGTCTTTTTAACTAGTAAGTATGATTGAATAAAATAGTAAGAAAAGAGTAATGAAGTAGCAAGTGGAATTTATTTGAGTGGTAGTAAGTGAGGCTTATTTGAGTGATAAGTTAAGTCTAATAAACTAGTAAGTAGAGTCTTTTTAACTAGTAAGTATGATTGAATAAAATAGTAAGCAAAGAGTAATAAAGTAGCAAATGGAATTTATTTGAGTGGTAGTAAGTGAGAATTATTTGAGTGGTAAGTTAAGTCTAATAAACTAGTAAGTAGAGTCTTTTTAACTAGTAAGTATGATTGAATAAAATAGTAAGCAAAGAGTAATAAAGTAGCAAGTGGAATTTATTTGAGTGGTAGTAAGTGAGAATTACTTGAGTGGTAAGTTAAGTCTAATAAACTAGTAAGTAGAGTCTTTTTAACTGGTAAGTATGATTGAATAAAATAGTAAGCAAAGAGTAATAAAGTAGTAAGTGGAATTTATTTGAGTGGTAGTAAGTGAGGCTTATTTGAGTTGTAAGTTAAGTCTAATAAACTTGTAAGTAGAGTCTTTTTAACTAGTAAGTATGGTTGAATAAAATGGTAAGTAAAGAATAATGAAATTATAAGTGGAGTCATTGAAGTATAATAAAGTGGTAAGTCATAATTAATTCAAACCCTGCCCATGTACAATCCAAATCCAAATTACTAAAAAACGACAAAAATCATACGATTAAAATCCATTTTCTCTACATCCTCCCCAAAACAAATTCAGTTGAAATTCACATAATTCAAGTATGAACATGCAACAACATCAATGATACATGACAATTATCTATCACAAGCCAATTCTATCACTCTTGACCCAATTTTATTGTTTGCATCTCAAACTAAGCCCAGTGCTAATCTTTGTCTAGCATCCCACGAGTTAAATTGAAGCAAACAAGCTTCGAAATCAATAAATTGCACAAATTCAAAATACTTGATGACGTGCATTCCACAATCATAGCCATTACTTTGTTGTGGAAGCCATTCAAGTGTTCTAATTGGAAACTTGGTAATTTTATTTGTATATGCATTCTTGTACTGAATTCCCAATAAGTCATGTAACACTTCAACCTGTTATTTACATAACTAATTAGTAGGAAAACATGCAATACAAAATACAAATAACGACATTGTACAAGGATGTATACCACTTTTTTTACTTGAGTTGGCCGAGTTCTACTTCTTCTTGATATATACAGATCAAGGATATATACCACTTGTTGTCGCATGTATACCACACACATATACCAATGTTCACCCTCATCATTAATTGGAATGTACACCTATATTAAATCAATAATCAGCACTATCATATTCATTAACATATTAAACAAAAGTAAAGTGAGATAATAACAAATCAATACCCTTTCACATGATTCAATTTTTCCCGTGTACCGTTTTGTTCCAAAATAGGACTTGAGCATGTTTGGCTTATGAACCTTGTGTTGCAAAATATGTTGCTACAACTCATAAAAATTAGTATAAATATCAATAACACAAACTACGTAGTCAAATGCTTTTAATTGTAAAATGCATAAGTAAATTACCGAAAAATATGTAGGTAGATACCACGTTGGATATTTCGCATCTGGGATACGATCCTTTTGCTTTAATGTAAATTGCAAAGCAACTAAAGTAATTATCTAAGAAACAAAAACTCATCAATAAATGCAATTATCTTGTACATTATAAATTCATTTGAGCAATGGTTTACTACTTACTTGTCCATCAAGCCAACAACCACGATCTAATGTCCATATGTTTTTGCGCGTTCCATGTTAAATATCAAAGTTAACAAGAATTTCACTGTCATATTAATTAAGTGATACATGTCAATGTGACAATATAAACATATGAAACATAAAAGAAAATATTTCTTGAAAGAAATAGAACCTTTCCAATTTACTACGATGAAACAAATAGTCTCTTATCAATTTATCCTCAACTGAAAGCGGTGGCAAATCAAATCCTTTCATGGGAGTTGGCATACTCAACAACTCAGAAATCTGTTTTTAACCAATCATTGATAACATTTTCATAAAGTATGTAATTGAATATTCTCCTAAAAATGAGTTTCTATAAGAAAACATAAGTATACATTTCTCGAATGTTGTTCAGGAAACACAACAACTTGTTTATTTTTCATTGTAGCTTCCTGTATAACATAAATCAGTCGGTGACTAAGTTCATTTGTAATGAATTATTTTTAAAAAAATTGTTATGTGTACAAATATTATTTATTACCTCTTGTGCATATTTAGGCAACATGTCAAGTTGTTTGCTTGTTATATTATATTTCTACATAACACAAATAAATCAATAACTACTTTCAATTCTAACAACAAAACAAAACAAATAATAATAATAATAATAATGTATCTTACCTTGCCAAGTTCAACATCATAGGGTGAAAGTATATGTTTGCTTTTTTTTCGTTTGCTTGAAACCCAACCCTTATTCCTTTTCATATAATAAAGATTGTATTAAAAAGGTTTGCTGTCAAAAATTTTACGTGACATGAAATTCTTTTAAGTGTGAAAATTAGATTTTTCAAAACTTACAATTTTGAAAATAATTTTTGGCGGTAATTATTTCTTATATGTTAAATAGTGTAAATTGATTTTATGAGATTTTTCTACAAAGTATCAACCTCTTTTACTTCAATGTCAAACTTGGACATTTCAGTCAGAAAATTATTTTATACTAAAACTAGGGGAATCACTTCTAATTTAATTGGATTTTGATTTTTTTTGTATTTTTCTTTGAATCCAAATTGAGGGGGGGGTATTTCTTTATTTATATTGTAAACTTAAATAAATGAAATATAAATGTAAGAGGCTAAATGAAAGTATTTACTTAAATGGTTACAAATAGAAATAAGGTTGATTTGCTGAGAGTGTCTTTGAGTCTGTACCTGTGTGACTAACTGTGTGTAGAGTGACCACTCGAGCGGTAAAGAGAGTGCATCCAATATCTTGTTTTGCAGACGAAAATATTAAGAGGTTGAGTTCACCGCTCAAGCAGTGGAAAGACTGCTCAAATGGTTTGGGCAAATTAACTTAAAAGTCGACTTATACCCATTTTTCTTTCACTTTTTCATCTCCTCTTTCTCTCCAACAACTATTTTTGAAACCCTAGCCCCAAAACACTTGATTCCCTTCATTTCTACTAAGAATCCATCTTAGATCTTTCAAGAGAGTTGAAGAACAAGCCTTGATCAAGATTTTTACCGATTGATTTGTGATTTTGTTGGAGCTTCAAGTTGGGTTTTCATCTTTCCATCATCACCTTTTAGGTAAGAATACTTTTAACCTTGTATATCTATATTTTGAGTTGATTATGTGGTAGTTTTCATAATATATGTATGGTATGAGATAAATGATTTGGATTAATGAGAATTTATGAAAAATGGAGGTTTTACTTCTATAATTTTTGTAATGTTTGAATATTCTTGAATAAAACCAACTTTGATTCCATGATTCTTGGATTGATAGAGAATATGGAGAAAAACCCTAAATTCTACAAAACCCTAACTATGGATTTTGATGTTTAAGAGATAATTGGAATTAAATTGATGTTGTGTGGATGTGTGGAGACATTTTGTGATGAAGTAAATTTAGGAGTTTGTTGAATAGATATGTTATATGTTGGGTTTGATACTCACGCGGGGAAATTAAGGTGCCCACTTGCCCGGTCGTGTGAGGACGACAAATGTGGAAAAGTTGAGGTGCCCACTGGCGATCCTGTGAAGGTGGAAAAATGTGGAATTGAAAAATAAATGTGGAAAGTGTGAGGTGCCCACTAGCCATCCATGTGAGGATGGAAAAATGTGGAATTGGTTAATAAATGTGGGATTGTTTGGAAAGGTTTTATATTCTTATAAATATGTATATATATATATATATACTCATGTGGATTTGTTTTGAATGAAAGTCTTGGAACAACAAATTTTGGGTTAGAGATAATTACATCAAATGTTTATATACTTTGTTAAATGTATTCTCTACTGGGCATTAGCTCGATCCTATCATAACAAACATTTCAGGTTGTGATGATGTGTCTCCACTCAGCTAGGAATTGGTGGAGATCTTGATGGAGCACGGAAGCTTATTTTGGATGTTTTATGTGATTACAGCCATCGGGCTTATGTGTTTGGGATAAAATTCCACCTATGTGTGTAATCAAGGCCCTAGCCTTAAAATTTGTAAGCCCTCTTTGGGCATTTTGGTCGTATCTCTTTTATTCATTGAACTATAATGTATGATAATTGATATTGTTAATGTTGTAAAATGAAATGTAACTTTTGTGAGAAAGATAAACATTGGGCTTGTGTGTGGTTGTACTCTGAGTTACTTTCTATAATTCTTCTTTATATTTCGAAATTGGAGATTGATAAAGATTCGGTAATTATGAAATGGATTAAAAGATCGGGGCATTACATTTTAACAGATTCAAAACCCATACTCAACCCCAATTCATAATCTAATGATTTTATCAAAGAAATAGACTAAGACATGACAAAATTATATATATAACTCAAAGAAACTACCTACCTCAAGCTATGGAGAAAAGAAGAGAAGACAAGAACCCCCCAAAATCGACGGTGTCGGATTTTGATCTCTACCGCACAAAATGTAGCCTATGATGAACTCTCCAAATTTGATAAAGATGGATTTAGAAAAATCAAGGATCAAATGAAGTCTGGTGAGAGTGAATGAAGAAAGAAGGGAGAGATATATGTTTTTAGATAGAGAGAGATGATAAAAATAAGATCCTCTTAGCCCAAGAAGAAGAAAAAGGGGAAAAAAAAATTTGGATACCAATTGTTCCTGCACGTGTGCCCCTCTGCCATATGTGCAGTGAGTGCCTTCTTGCACATGCGGATCCCTTGACCGCACGTGCGGTTAATTTAGAATGAAACTCAAGAAATTCACTTCCTCACCATATGTACGGCATCCATCCCCATACGTGCGACACTCTCCCCACATGTGCCCTCTGCACCTGCAATTATTTCATAATGCAAACATTGTCCCAACTTCCTTCCCGCACGTGTGGCACTCACCCCCGTACGGGCGGCACTCCATCCGCACGTGCGGCTACAACCCCTGTACGTGCGGTTTGCTCACCTGAGAGATCCTAAGCTTCCCTAGGTGTTTTCCTCTACTCAAGTCCCTCCTACGCACCAAAAACATGAAATTTTTGATTCCTGAAACAAGCTTAGGACCACACAAGAAATTTACGAAGTGTGACGAACTCATGCGGTCGACAAGAGCTTGAATTGGTTTCAAAATCCTGAAAAACGAGGAATTAAACACGATTAAGAGGAGAATAAAGAAGGTTGTATACCTGGGACATTATAATCACTTTCAACCTGTTTTTCACAAATCAAACAAATTATAGTCAATGGCAGCCTAAATAAGAATAAATTTTTACATGTACATGTCATTTTCACCAACACTTGGCACTACTTAGAAATTGTTGACATTTTTTGAATATTTTTTTTAAAATCTATGTCAGAGTTTGTAATTGGAATTTTAAATACTGTTTTCTTCCTCTGTGAAGTTATTGAAGTAAATTTTTTTTGTAAATTTGTAAATATCTTTAATTTTGAAAGGTCTATAAACAACCTTAAGGTCTGAAGTAAAATTAAGAACAAATGATTTTATCACATCCTCGTTAAATTGATTGTTCAATTTTTACATATATTTTTTAATTGTTGAATTGAAGGGCTAATGAAGAAGACAGAAAAAAGATAATCAAAAAATAATAAGATAGGAATTGAAGGAGAAAATGATATATTGAAACAGATTTGAACAGAAGGAAGAAAAACCAAAAATGGAAATAAAGTTGAATGGAAAATCAAAACAATAATAATATAAAAAAATTAATTCTAAAAGTATTTACACTACATGCATGTGGTATCTATCACTTGAAAGTGAGATTCCCTTAACATTGTGGGTGTTTGGAAAATTGTTATTTTAATAAGCTATTTTAATTTTTGACTATTTTAGTAGGCTAAAATTTTTGTGTTCGAGAAGATAGTTAAATTTTTTTGTAGTTAGATGAGATGTTTGCTAGAGAAAAAATGAAATGATTATGGGTTTGATGTGACATTTTGTCTTATTAACTATTTTAACCTATTTTGTCTTTTTGTGAATTTTATCCCAAAAAGTCCAAAAAAGTCCTTTCCAAACACCCCATTGTGTCTACTTGGTATATTGTGGGAATATTAATTAGTATTTTTTAACATTATTAAAAATAAGGGTAAATTACACTGACACCCCCTGAGATTTAGTCTGATTACATCCTACTTCTTGATGTTATGGAAATTACATTCCTACTCCTGTGGTTAATAATCTTATTTTACAAACTCTCATACTTATATAAAAAGTAACAACTCCTGGTAGAAAAACAAAATAAATTATATTAAAAATAAAAATAAATAAAATAAAGCAAAGGAAAAAAAAAACATAAGAAATAGCGTAAAGCAAGAAAAGAGAGAGTGTATGAATTTAATGTGTTTTTGATACCAACGTTAATTCTGTCTAAACAATTTCAATAACAGGGAATCAG